CCCATTGCCTGGCTCCAAATGAGCCCCTGGGGACCCCTCAGCAGCAAACACATCAGGAAAAGAGCAAGAGTCAGCCCCCAGGGAGCAGAGCAGACCACACTGGTGACTGTCACATTGCACACTGCCCATGCCAGCCCCTCAGGCCTTCCCTTCCTCATCTCCCACTCTGCTCCTCAAATTCAGGCTGGGGTCCCCTTTTCAGGGCTCTTGGGGCTGGCATGGGGTGGTGGGAAGAGAGAGAAACTGAGACACAGGGGCAAGTACGTGGGAAGGAACCACTGGGTGGGCTGAGGTCAGGGCCAGACGTGGTGGGGGCAGCATTGTGGAGCCAAGAACAGAGAGTTTTCAGGGGTCTAGGGAGTAGCTGTGCATTGGGCCAGCGCCCCCTGGTGGAAAGTGTTGCAGCTGCTACCCAGAGCCAGGTCTCCCAGCCTTGCTGCTGTGGCTACCTGGGCATTCTTCCCTGGACATTCGGAGAGAGTGGAGCGTATAGCCCTGCACAGGGCCCAGAAAAGGTCTGCTTTAGTAAGAGTTGGGTTTGGGGAAAAGAAAAAAGAAAAAAACTGTCCAGGAATCAAGTTCCATTCCAGTGCCCCTTGGAGAAGTGCTTCCAGAGGAAACACTGTTTGGGCAGCCAGGGTAAAGACCTGGATCCCTGGAGGCTCCTGCCCCAAGGCAAAATTCCTGCCAGAATGAAAAAGTATGCCTCTCCTTTCCTTTGCAGTTGTCCTCCCCCCACCGTCCTGCGTGCTCTCATGTCTTCAGAACAGGACGTGGGACTTCCTGGGATTCCCCTCCTCATTCCCGCTGCACCTCTCCCAGTCTTCCTTTTCCTTCCCGCTTCCTTCATCTCCTTTCCTACCCCCCCCCCCCCCCCCCCCCCCCCCCCCCCCACACACACACACGTCCCTGCTTCCCCGACACAGCCCGGGCTCTCAGGACACAGGAAGGGACTACGCGACCCCTCCAATGATCTTAGGGGATCTTTACGGGAGAGACAGAAGGCAGAGCATCCACAGCCAGTGCTCGAGGCCTGGGCAGTGTGGGCCTCTTGCCGGCCCAGGACCTTCCCGAATTCCGGGTGACCCCAGAGTAAAGAACATCGGCTTCCGCGCCGCTCACCGCGGAGGGGTGTCATCCCGGGAAACCGAACCGCCTGCAAGGCGCTCCTTTACGGCATCCACTGAGGAAAGGCAGCGCCCCTCGTGGCCAAGTCAGTGCGGCACACAGTGATCAGCGCAGCGCGCTGGGTGATCCTCAGGGTCCTTGAAATTAAATGTCCAACGAGCTACTGACTAAAGCCCGAAGGAAAAAAGTTGTTCCTCTCTCCTGGCTACAAGCGGGGTTTGCAAAAGCAATTGTCTAGTGTTTTAGGGTTCAGAACGTGGATAGTCCCACAAATTCGAGCCCGAGGATCATTGCCGGGCAGGAGAAAGGCTAATGAGCCATAGAAGCCCCTACCTGCCCAACCAGCCCTCTAGTTTTATACTTCCTGAAGTGCAGGGACTCGGCGGAAGCTCTCTTGCCTCCATCTGTGCACAACCCAACATCTAAGCGTCTGGACCCTAGAGAGAGGGGTCTTAGACTCATTGGGTGGGAAAGGAGAGAGGAGAACAGGTTTTGTCCCTTAGACTTAAGTATACTAGTACTGGTCAGATTCAGTGGCGGATTTTAAATAAGCCTCTGCTCTGGTTTATATCCTGTTAACAGTGGCTGCTCTTAGGGAATTTAATGTGGGGGAGAGGAACTGAATTTTCCCCTATACACTGGGGCCAACTGGAGCAGAGGAAGGAGGTTCAGGCATTGGGCTGAGTAGCATTCTCCCACAGGTGGGTTCTTTAGGGATTTATCCCCACCCTCCTACTCTCTCACTGGTTCTTAAAATCACCTTCCCCCTCCTAAGGCTTGTCTGTGCTTGTGAAATGAGGGTTTGATCACAAGGGTTAATGGTTTCCTAATGATTGGATCCCACTTCCCACACTTAAGAATGGCCAGTTAACACATACACACAGTGCAGTGCTTTGCAACCATAAATATGAGAAATACCTCTATGAACGGATATGATTCAGAATGTTTTTTATGTGAAAACTGCAAGTACAAAAGAGTGTGTACACAGTATGCTATCTTCTGTACAAGGAAAAGGAGCAATAGATATGCTTGTTTTACAGGAAGAATAGGAAAATAATGAAAACAATTTTTTTTATCTAGGGATGCATGGGAATGGAGTCTAAGATATAGAGATGGGAGGGGCTTTTTTCTAGTTTTATTTTTTACTACAGCTTTTTTACTAGTTTTTATTTTTAAACAATGTTAATGTTTTACATATTCCAAGAGATTGAAAAAGCTCTTAAAACTCAAAAGCAGAACAAATGAATTTAATTATATATGAAATGATAATAAAATCACATAGAATATAATTAAGTAAATTTTGAAGGTAGTTTTTGTCTGCATACCCATATTGGAGTCCATCTTAAAGACATCTTGAGCTTTACTTAGTAGGTTGATTGAGGGTTTTTTTGTTTGTTTTTTGTTTTTTGATTTCAGAGAGGAAGGGAGAGGGAGAGAGAAAAACATCAATGATGAGAGAGAATCACTGATCAGCTGCCTCCTACCTGACTCCCACCAGGGATTGAGCCTGCAATCCACGCATGTGCCCTTGACTAGAATTGAACTCAGGACCCTTCAGTCTGCAGGCCGATGCTCTATCCACTGAGCCAAACCGGCTAGGGCAGTAGGTTTATTGTTGGTAATGGAATTAGCATAATTGTGAAGCTGTTTTGTGTGTTTTGTAGGATAGAGCAAATTAGTAAAAAGGGTTGATATTGTCAGGAATCAAGGTTATCATCTTGGAAAAAGGGAAAAGTTGAGGAAGAACCCTATGGTGTTGGACTGGAATTGGAGATATCCGTATCACCTCATGATACCCACTGATAGGGTCTAAAAACAGTGAGCCCTGCGTGGCACAGTGGTTGAGCGTTGACCTCTGAAACAGGAGGTTAGGGTTTGATTCCCAGTCAGGGCATATGCCCGGGATGCGGGCTTGATCCTCAGTGTGGGGCGTGCAGGAGGTAGCCAATCAATGATTCTCTCTCATCATTGATGTTTCTATCTCTCTCTCCCTCTCCCTTCTCTGAAATCAATAAAAATATATTTAAAAAAATTTAAAAACAGCATATTTAGTGCTTGGTTTCTGAATACCATTTCCCATGGAAAAATTATGATTCATTGTAGAAATGCCTGCTTTGGGACTGGGGGACTAAAAATACAAGGTGAGCCTAGAATATCTTATTGTGCCTAAAGATTAGTTAGGACATGTCAAAAGGTCACAGAAGCCAGTTTGAAGAGGTTGCCTGGTCAAATTAGAGACCACTGGAACACCAAAAAGAATTCTGGTGCCATTTGTTGTTTCCGTGACCAGGGTACATGAAGTGTAGACCATTCTGCCACAGGCTGAGTCACATGACATCCACCACTCTCTACCTAAAGCCTGCAGGCATAACTTGATCTGCTGTTAAAGGTTTGAGGTTAACTGTTTCGGTCTGTTTCCTTCACAGGTCTTCATTACCTGTCCTACTGTATGTCTCCACTTCTTTCAACTCACCCTATTCTCACCCTCTAGTTACTCCCACAGTGTCCTTCTCCTCTCCTCCTTAACAAAATTTAATTCAGTTAAATCTTTAGAGCAGCAAATATAAAGGAGACTGGCTGTGTTGCTTCTGGAAAAGTCCAGAGGCCAGATATGAAAAACATAGTGAAACAAAGAGAGAGAAAATAAAAATTAGCCCTAGCTGGTTTGGCTCAGTGGATAGAGCATCAGACTGTGGACTAAAGGGTCCCAGGCTTGATCCCCAGTAGGGGGCATGTACGAGGCAGTCGGTCAGTGATTCATCATCACTGATGTTTCTGTCTCTCCCTCACCCTTCCTCTCTGAATCAGTAAAAACATATTTAAAAAAAATAAGACAAAAGAAAAAGAAAACAAAAATTACCCTGGTATAATTATGGCCCTGAACAAAGCCATCTGAGGAGTGATTTGCTGTCAGAATGAAGTATATAATCTGTTTTCATGTATAATGAAGTATATGTCTGGCAGAGAAAGGATAGTGGTTCTTATCCCCGGATGTATATTAGAATAATCTGGGGATTTTAAATATAGATGCCTGAACCCCATACCAGAGATTTTCATTTAATTGAGGTAAAGGTAGTTGACTGGGCATCAATATTTTTCTGGAATCTGCATAGGTTATATGCATGTGTACCAAGGGTGAAAAAATTAGTCTAGGACTTGAGCTAATCCACCCCAGGATGGCTAAGTGTACAGTTTACAGAAAGTGCTGAAAATTAAATCATAGGGTTTGCACTTCTCTAGCTAACGTAGGCATACCCTGGAACAAAAAGAAAAGAAAAAGTGGCAGATGTAAAGATGACATCACTTGTGTTCTACCCTATAAATTCTCTCATTTAAATGTGCCTGTGTGGCAATTTACATTCTTTAGGTCCTGAGACTACCAAGGCAGATAGATCTCTTTTTTAAAATGTATTTTAAAAATACACTTTTTACTGATTTCAGAGAGGAAGGGAGATGGAGATAGGAACATCAATGATGAGAGAAAATCATCAATTGGCTGCCTCTTGCACATCCACTACTGGGGATCAAGCCCAAAACCCCCAGCGTGTGCCCTGACCAGGAATCAAAACCTGACCTCCTAGTTCATGGGTCGACACTCAACTACTGAGCCACATGGGCCAGGCTTAAGATTTTTAAAAATTGAATTTTAGAGAGAGGGAGAGGGAGAAACACTGATATGAGAAACAGCAATCAACTATTTTCTGCACACCCCTATCAGGGATCGAGCCCACAACTCAGGCATGTGCCCTGACTGGGAATAGAACCAGCAATCTTTCAGTACTGGTTCGGGTGATGCCCAAGCGACTGAACCACATCGTCCAGGGCAGCAGACAGATCTTGATAATATAATCAGTAATCAATGAAGAATTCAATATTGCTGCGTAATACTTTTATTCAACAGTTTTATGGAGAAAAACAATTTCTGTATGTGCAACATCACAATTTTCAGACACATCAGAGTTCAGTGACAAAATCCATTTGGAGAAAAGTTTTCAAACCCATTCTTGTGTGTTAATCCTCTATGAAATATTGAAAAGCAGCTCTGCACCTCAGCACTAAAGGTTACAAAAGCACCATTTAAGGGACTCACATGTTTAATTCTTTTCAAATTATAGTATTATTTCCCCTTTATGACAGAACTTCACTAATCCAAAATGCTTCAGTATAACAATAACCAACATCCTCCAATTTACCAATATTCAAACAAGTCTTACATAGGGGGCTCAGTATGGAATTAGAATTAATAACATCAGTGAGCTTGGCTGTTCTAAAACCTGAACCTGGTTAAGGTTAGTGCTCTGTAGACGGAAACAGAAAAGTAAGATGATCAATACATAATACAATGGTAGGTATCCCTTGACCATTTAACCTGACTACAAAATCCAGTGTTTAGTATATTTCATACCAATCTTACTGCAAAAGTACTGTACTACACACAATCCATTTCCAATTAATGTTAAAACCAATAAAAATTTCAATTTTTAACAAAACTTACTCACTTCAAAGCTCAATTGAGAAAAGCAAACCAAGACAAAGCCCAAATATGAATCCTAGAGAGATTCCATTACTAAGAATTGGAGTTCATAAGTAGCAGATTTGAGTTTTTTCTTTTCTTCTTTCTTTTTGCTTATAATTTAAATTTAAAAATAGATAAATTCTTTTACTCCAAAAGTTTGGGTTCATTGCAGAAATCACAGCCCTTCAAGCTCCAATTGAGAATGGCGCTTAAGAACAGACAAATACCTAGGTCCAGACTTTTAAAAGACAGACCTTAACCCCGTCCCCTCCCAGGTTCACCATCCCATTGGTAACTGGAATCAGCAGTCCCTGGTAGAAGACAGCAAGAACTTGGCTTTAAGGATGAGTCAGAACAATGTAGGAACAAACTGTATCTGCGAGTAAGCCCATGCCCCAAATCACTAGAACATGAGGATTTAGAAATCCTTTGAGAACAGAATGTATTTCAGACACACACAAACAGAGACTATTGCATATCATTTTTAGTTGAGGTCAAAATTTTAAAAGCCCTGTTTCCCCAGTTAAAAGCAGGAAATTCTATCATTAGTATGTCACCTTCATTTATAGCCCACATTAATATAAGCCCAGTTTGGAGGTAACACTTCTTTCAAAATTTAACTTCATTTTAGCAGCAAACATGGAGTACCAATACTTTTCAAAGGTTTTATCTCAGATTCAGTAGGTCTACAAGAGACTAGAAATAATTGGAGGGGAGTAAGTGGGCCAGGGTTTGTAGGATTCTCTCAGGAACTTCTCTTAGATTCTTCTTTTATAGGATTTCTTTACCATGTAAGCATTGTTTAAAAAAGCCAAACTATTAAGGCCAAGTGTGCCCTTCACGGGTGTTGCTTATAGTGGTTGAATCCCATTCAACTCTAAGCATGACTTGAACATTCTCCATACCAGCAAGATGCCTAACATTTATTTTAGGTAATGTTTGACTTGAGACCCTGATAAAGTCTACCTGACAAATGAAGTTGCATCAGAATATAGAAAAAAGGATAGAGAACAGGAACAAGAGGTGAAGGAATGATGTTTTTTATAGTAAATTCTATACAGTGAAATCCAAGGACACCAATATGTTGTGTCTGATTTAATTTTTTTAAAAAGGATAGTTCTCAGTTATTCAGGTCTTTATTTTTCTAGTATTACTCCTCAACTCAGTCATTCTTTTTTTTCCCATAATCCCAAAACCATGATGTAGTTCTTTAAGGGTTAATCCTCCTGAGAGCTATTTTCTTTTTCTTCTAACTCTTGTGAAACTGCTATAGTCCCTCCCAAAAGAGCTAAAAATATTTTTTCTTGCTTTTATTCATTTCTCAAATCTGCTAAACTCTATTCTGCAGAAAGTAAACTATTCCTTTAAACAATACAAAAGAATGAGTGGCTATACTTGGGGCTACCTTCCTCCCTCCCTATCTACTTTCTAAAACAGTTTCTTGGGGACAGAGTGTGACACGGCTTCTCAGGGCCATGGGACGTATTAGCAGTATAAAAAGGAACAATACTGAAGGAGTCATCATCCAGTTCCTCTCACCCACACCTTCCATACCAGCTGTTAGGCTCCCATGTCACATCTGGCTGAGAGATTACCTCAGAATTTGGGAAACTGACGCCCTCGGCATCTTTCCTGATTAGAAAGATGTGAAGGTCATCAGCACCAAAACCTACTGTCACTGAAGCCAGACCCAATTCAACAAAGCCTTTGGCCAGAAAGAAATTGAAGGGATCTCTTTTCCTGCCCCCTCGACTGACATACCTGAACAAAAATCTTCATACATGAACATATAGGCAATTACATTTCAATACTGTTGACCAGAAATATGAGTGCAACAAAATCCTTTATTAACCACCAAGATTTTGAATCCCCCTTAGTGGCCCACTTATTTAATGGGTATTAGAAAAAAACAAAATTCTAGATTAACTGAAGATGACATAGATCCTAAGAGTTGGTTAAAATAGGATTTGGCCTGGATTTTTTTAAATGGCACACTATTCAAAAAGTGGTTGGGAGTATAAAAGTTCTCCACAAACGCCTTTTGCTGCAGAAGGTGGCCTTAAGTGGCTAAAGCAGTATTTATTCTCAGCAATTAACCACCAAAGTACTTAGCAATCTGCATTCCCAGCAAAACACCACCACCATACCCTACTGCCTCATACGGGGATCTAAGAGGTCTACATACCCAAAGATAACTGCCTTCAGCTTTGTATGGGAAAGCAGGAGGTAACTAAACTGACCTGTGGATGCCCTCAGTGTGGCTGGGCTCATCTGAGCAGTCAAGGAGTCTCTCAAGCATCAAGTTTGGACTCCTTCGGTGTTGAATGTTTGACGTGCATTTACCTGTAATGGAAGAGCCACAGATACCTGGAAAATATGCTTTATCTTTGAACCCCAAGAATAGATTGAATGCTACTTTTCATTCCACAAATGGAAATCACTGACCCCACCTCATTATCAAATATGTTTTTTGAAAAGAGGCAGAACAAAATGATGGTTGAGAACACCAAGGGTACTTTCTTGCTTTTTGGCCTAACAAATCTTAAGTTGAGGTTACCTTTTAGGTGCATCAAATGAGCCTGAATAAATCTGTACCTAGAGCAGTATTTAGTGTAATGATGTGCACAGGGTTAGCTATATTACTTACTGTAAGATTAAGAACTAGACTAGGGAAGAAAATCTTGGGAACCATTTATCAAGAATTCTATGAAGTCTCATAAGACCAATGAAAAGGCATTTTTAATTAAAGAAAAATGTAGGCACATAAAAATCTTTCAAGGATGAAAGACATGAAAGTTTTCCCTGGCTCACTCACACCTTCAAGGTTGTCTGCTCTGAGAAAGAGAACATGGAGCAGGGCCAGGCCAGGTAGGAAAACCTATAGGGATGTGCCAATATGGCCCAAGCTGTGGCATCAAACTAAAACAAGAAAGTAGACCTTCTGCATTCCTGCCTTTATTTTTCTTGTTAATCCTCACCCAATGATATTTTTTTCCATTGATTTTTATAGAGTGGAAGGGAAGGGGAGAGAAAAATCGATGTGAGAGAGACACATCGATGGGTTGCCTTCCACATGCACCTCAACCGGGGCCAGGGATTGAACGTGCAACCCAGGTATGTGCCCTTGACTGGAAATAAAACCCACGACCCTTCGGTGTGTAGGACAATGCTCTAACCACTGAGAACACTGGCCAGGGCTTCCTGCCTTTCTTATAATGCTGAGCCATTTTCCTTAGTAGAAGTTAGAGCAAGTGGTAACAAAGTGGCCTAGGCCTGTGCTGGGCTAAAAAGGACTTTCTGGCAGCCCTAGTCTCTGAGGAGGGTCAGATATCACACAGACTTTGAAAGGAGTCATTTACCCAGTGAGTTTTTGTGTTTGGGGAGGGTCATGTATAGGATCTGAAAGAGGTTATCAAAGCAAGAATGTAAAATGAGAGGAAAAAAGGATTTTTGTGGGGCATCTGGTATTATATAAAAAACCCAGAGTGTATCCTCAGGTGAGGATAAAAAAAAGACCACCACAAAACCAACCAACCAACCAGCAACACAGATTGTGCCATATACTCTGGGAATACAGAAAACCCATGCAAGAAAAGCTGCCCCTGAAAGGAGGGGCAGCTGTAAGTAGGGCCCGAGTAGGGCACAAGTCCATCCCTTGGAGAGCCAAGGTAGCAGTGATAGACTCTCCACCCATCAAGGATACTGAGTTTGCTCTTCATTTTAGTAAAAAAAGCTTCCTATAATGAAGGCTCTTCCTGCAGCATCCCCAAACAGCTCTTGGTGCATCCCTAGAGGCAGAGAGAATACATCTAGCTAGGAGGCGTCCACTAACCTTCCTCTCATATGTATACATGTATGAATTTTTTTCTTAAAATGAACGCCATGAATTCATAAACCCCTCATCTTCAATCAAATGCAAAAGCAGAGCATCCTACTCAGAGGCTCTGAAACACACATATCAGCCTCAAAGCAAATCAGCCTGCCAGTCTCAGGTAAGACTAGTCTAGTCCAGAAAGGCAAGGAAACTGCTTCTGAAGCCTGGGAGGCCGAAAGGGATCCCTTCAGATGGGCTTGTACAGCAGAGTAGTGACATACTTCTTCTTGTAGCGATGGGTTGCACTAAGGACCATCACACTGTCCTGCAAGGAAAAGAAACATACGCAGCTATTTCATCAGTTCAAGTGGCACACAGTTGCTCACTTTTAAGAGACATAGTTTGATATTATAAAAGGAGTTTGGTTTTAGAGTCAAATCAACTTAAATCTGATCCTGAATCCTACTGTTACTCTGTGACCTTGAATAATCTACTTCATGTCTGTAAGTCTTTTTTCTCATCATTAAAAGGATAATACCTACCATTAAGGTGGCTCTGAGGTTTACATCAGAATATCTGGCATAGTACCTGACACATAAGAGGTGCTGGTGTTGAAGAAATATTAGTCTCCTATTTCACTCCTTCCCCATTTTAAATTTGAATATTGGGTTTAAATCTAGCAGAGAAAAAAGAAAGAAACACCCTGGCAATCCATTTATGGAAGGAATCTTAAATGCCATGAGAAGAAAGGGCAGTGATCTTTTTAGAAAACCATTTTCAAGCCCTGAAGCCGGTCTAATTTCCATTTAAAAAGTCTTCTTTGATCAAGAGGGGACTCAGGAATCCCCTTCTATCCTTAAATAAAGTAGACCCCAAAATCCTCCTAGGAAAGACACTCAATCCAATTGATTAATTCCAAACAGCCTAAACAATCTGGGTCAAGGCCAAGGTGAATCACAATACTCAAGACCAGTGTGAAAAGTAAAAGGTACAATTTCCCAGGCTGTGAACCACGAGAGAAGAGCGCAGGCCTGTGGACATCCATTGATAGTTAAGGAGCAGTAACAGGAGGCAAAAGTTCAGTCAGATCCCAAAGAACCCAAGCAGATCCAATTGAGAACCCAGTGCATCTTCCTATTTTCCCCTATACTGTTTGTCCGAAATCAATGCTTCCCAGATTAACATTTTGTGACCAGAGAATGCTGATCCCAGCCTAAACATGACATAAGCAAGGCAGGTAAAAAGTTCAACTCCAAGAAGGGTTTGGTAGAAATGAGGAGCAGGCGAGAGAAAGACCTATTGGGAAAGACCTGGCATAGTAATATCTAGGAAAGAATATGGAATGAGGATAGGAGGACTGGACTTCAGTCCTTTCTCTGGTACTTACTGGCAATATGACCTTCTCTGAGCCTTAGTTTCTTTATCTATAAAACAGGGGTTAAAAATAATACTTACCACACAAGGTTATTATAAAAAATAAATTCCGTTATATTTTTAAAAGTACCCGCTAAAGAAGTCATCTGTTAAAGAAGCTGTATCAGTGATTTCCCTTATCTGATGCACATCTAAGAAATATAAGCAGCTTAAAAAGATGATTAGGGCCCATCCTAGATGCACTTATTCAAAATCCCTGGGATATAGCCTCTGAATCTGTATTTTTACAAACTCCCCAGGTGATGATCATCTGGTAACTGTAGAGCAAAACTTTATTCCAATAGCCAAACCACAAAGACATGACTAGACTGAATGACTATTTCCAACCTAGACTCTAAAACAGCGGAGAAATTAAGAAGAACTATAAGAATTGGAGGGGACATTGCAAATCTGGTCACATTTCTCCCAATATAGGAGATGCAACCACTTGGGTATCTATGAATGAGGCACCTGAAAGCAGCTGTGTCCACCTTTAAAAAGTGAGGGCTTTGATATCACATTTAGGTATTCTTTGAATTGAAGCTAAACTTGCTTTTTGTGCAAGTGGAATTTTAGTGCTATGTACTCAAACTTAGTTAAGTAGGTAATACAGTGGTTATAGCTACCCACAGGGTAAGCTAAGAACACATATGTCTGTATCTATGAGTTTCAGTTTTATATCCCACACATAAGAATTATATGGTTCTTAGCTTTTTCTGACTGATTTATTTTGCTTAGCAAAATATTCTCAAGGTCCATCCATGTTATCACAAATGGCAATATTTCACCTTTTCTTATGGCTCAGTAGTATTCCATTGTGTGTGTGTGTGTGTGTGTGTATCTCACATCCTTTATCCAATAATCCATCAAAGAACACTTTGGTTGTTTCCATGTCTTGGCCTCTATGTATAATGCTGCAATGAACATAGGTGTATATATAGATCTTTGCAAATGAATGTTTTCAAATTTTGCAGGTAGAGACTCAGAAGGATTGCTGGGTCATATGGTAACTCTATTCTTAATTTTTTGAGGAGCCACCGTACTGTTTTCTATAGTGGCTGTACCAGTTTACATTCCCACCAGCAGTGAAGGAGGGTTCCTTTTTCCCCCACAACCTCTCCAATATTTGTCTTGTTGATAATAGCCATTCTAACAGGTATGAGGTGGTATTTCATTGTAGTTTTGATTTGCATTTCCCTAATAGCTAGTGAAGTTGAACATCTTTTCATATATCTGTTGGCCATTCGAATGTTTTCTTTCAAGTGTCTGTCCAGGTCCTCTGCCCATTGTTAATTGGATTATTTGTTTGTTTGGTGTTGAGTTGCGTGAGTTCTTTAAGTATTTCGGATATTAACCCCTTATTGGAGCTGTTGTTTGCAAAAATCATCTACTCCATTGATTGCCTTTTAGTTTTGGTGGTTTCTCTTGCTGTGCAAAGTTTTTTGAAACTAAGATTTTAAAAAAACCCCAAAAAACAAAACACACACAAAAACCACCCACTAGTTTAAAAAAGTTCTCTCTCTCTCTCTCTCTCTCTCTCCCCCCCAATTTTTTTTGGGGGGGAGGCAACCAAAATTTTTGGTGGCCTAAAAAAATAAGTAAATAAGTTATTTCTTTATATGCCTGGCCAGTGTTGCTCAGTGGTTGAGTGTTGACCCAGGAACCAAGAGGTCACCCGTTCCATTCCTGATCAGGACACATGTCTGGGTTGCAGGCTCAATCCCCAGTATGGGGCATGCAGGAGGCAGCCAATGGATGACGTTTCTCTCTCACTGATATTTCTATCTCTCTGTCCCTCTCCCTTCCTCTCTCTCTAAAAAATCGATAAAAACTTATTTTTTCGGGAAAAAAATAAGTTTCTTATAATTTGACCATTACTGCCAGCCTCAGCTTCAGTGAAGTAGCAGAGCAAGTAATCACTGGAAAACATATGTTACCCTTATGTGTGGGATATAAAAGTGAAATCCATTTTGGGGAGCTCTGTGAAGAGCCAGCCCCACCACTTACCTTTATGGACAATGCATAGAGATGGTTCAGCATAACATGATTTGGTTCAGGGAGCAAGGCTGGATCACACTAAGAGAAAAAAAAAAAATCACTAAGTGGGGTTAAATGCACAGTCTTAAACCAGGCAGTTTATTCTTCCTCCAAGCCCTTTGGGATTGTTGAGAAACTCTAAACTAGTATATATTGTTCCTTTTACATACTGCACTCATCCTTGTATATATCAATAATACAGTCTCATTACAGGAAATCAGGAAAATTCTGAGTCCAGGACAGAAATGCTAAGCCTCAGCATCAATTCATCTTCCTTAATAGAGCTAAGACAAAAACGTTGCCCACAACACACATAGAAGATACAGGCTTAAGAGGCAACAGTAATCTTAATGGGAATCATGTGAATTGACTAGAGATGTAAATTATATGAAAACCACACACAAAAAAGACCACTTTACACTTCTTTTCTATATCCTCAAATGATAAATGTGCCCAAAACAAATGATATAAGTTCCCAAAACTGGTTCTAGTAATCCATAGCTCTGGGCCTGAATTACTTGAAGCAGAGACAACTATGAATTCTGATATCAGTACCTGGCAAAGTCACAACTCAGCCCTAGAAAAAAGAAACTAATGATATATGTATCTATATATGATATCTATATATAACTATATGTATGTTAATATGAAAAGATTAGATTTCTTCTTTTTTCCATATATGTGATGTTTTCTCTTCACACACCTTTGTAATAATCCCAACCTCTAGGATTAGTAAACTTTACCTCAAATGGTCCCAGTGACCTACCTCAAGATGCCCCAGCAGTACTCTCAGGATACTCACAGAAATATTAGTGTCCTTGTTAAGAATAACTTGGAGAAGGTGAGGAGGCAAGATGGGCGGGGATTTGAATCTCTCCTCAGATCGAAACACATACATTTCTTGACTATAAGGGCCCGGGGGTGAGCTGGAAAGGTCTGGAAGACATTTATCCAAATATAAGGGAAAGTTAAGAGAACTAGTAAAAATGCATGAAAAAAAATCATCATGGCATCTAATAATAAATACATAGAAGTCATGAATCATAAACTTGTGACGTGTTGGGTCTACAACTGTAAAGCAGACAAGAAAAAGTCTTGAGTTATCCTGAACATAAACTAGGAAGTTCCTCAACCTGGCAACATGATATGGAGGATAAAGGAGGAGATGAGGGGTAAAAGAGGTAGGTTTTGGGAAGAAGTACTCCATTTATCTGTTTCCTCATTCATACAATATGGACAGTTTCCTCATTCATAAAGTAAAAAGAATCTCTACCCTATTTCACAATGTTTTTAAAGGACTCAAATAAGAAAACAAATGTGACAATGCCTTGTAACTGTAAAACAGTATAAAAAGATTAGATTTCTTCTTTTTTTTCCACCCAAAAAACAGACAAGGTTATATATACACTCTAAGATTACTTATACTACCATGATTGCAACAATGAGGACAAAATTACTAATAATATAGTAGTCATTAGGGAAATGCAAATAAAAACCACAATAAAATACCACTTAACATGCATTTAGATGACTATGATAAAAAAGACTGACAAGAACAATAATTGTTGGCAAGTATGTGGAGAAATTGGAACCTTTGTACTATTCCCATTGCTGGAGGGTATGTAAAGTGGTGCAGCTGCTTTGAACAGTTTGGCAGTTTCTTCAAAAGTTAAACATAAAGTTACCATATGACCCAGAAATTATATTCCTGGGTATATACCCAAGAGAAATGAAAACATATGTCTACACAAAAACTTGAACACAAATGTTCAAAACAGCATTATTTATAATGGACTAAAAGCAGTAACAAATCCAAATGTCCATCAGCTAATGAATGGATAAACAAAATAGTATATTCATACAGTAGAATTTTATTCGGCTATAAAAGGAATAAAATACTGATACATATTACAACATGGATGACCATATTAAGTGAAAGAAGCCAAACACAAAAGACCACATACTGTATAATCCCATTTACATGAAATATCTCAAACAGGCAAATCCATAGACACAAAGTGGATTTGTGGTTGCTAGGGACTGCTGATAGTTATGGGATTTCTTTCTGGGGTGATAAAATACTCTACAATTAGACAGTGGTGATGGTTACACAACTCTGTGAATATACAGAAATTACTGAATTGTACACTTTAAAGGGTAAGTTTTATGAATGTGAAAAAAAATGAATAATGGTCCTGGCCGGTTTGGCTCAGTGGATAGAGTATCCGCCTGGGGACTGAAGGGTCCCAGGTGGATTTCGGTCAAGGACGCATACTTCGGTTGCGGGCTTCGGTGCCGGTCGGGGTGTGTGTGGTAGGCGGCCACTCAATGTGTCTCTCTCACATCAATGTTTCTCTCTCTGATCTCCCTCTCCCTTCCACTTTCTCTAAAAATCAATGGAAAAATATTCTCGGGTGAGGATTAACAACAACAAAAAAAGTATAAACCAGAATAGAAGAAAATATATAAAAATAAAGAGAACTATAACTGTTTGCTTAACAAATTTTAATATGTTTATAGTTTCTAGTGAAAAAATAACCAGTATAAGAACTCATATTTCAGTTGAATATATGAGAGGCAAAAGAGTAGCAATAATATTGTTATATTAAGAAACATCTTAAAACTATGTAGAACTTGAAATTTTTCAAAATACTCTGTTATTTTGTCATGTGGTCCACAAAACACCCCATGGAAGTACTTAGAAAGTTTTTATTTCTCTTTCATTCAAAATTTAAAAAAAAAAATTGGTTAAGTGATTTGCCCAAAGGTACATACTTAGCAAGATGTTCACTGAGTGCAGATTCCTAATAAAATGTATTTTAAACTTTACCTTAGTGGATCAGGAAATTGGGTAAAAGAGAGAAGAAAGAAATATCAAAAGTATGCTAGTCCTCTCTCTATATAATTATGACTATATGTCTAGTATTTATTGGCTGCTTTGTCAGAATAATGAAATACAAAAATTTAGTCACAAGTGGCCTCATGATTTAATTCAGTATTTTTAAACCCTTTTTATTCACTGCCACACTTTGTGCCCTGAGATTCTAATATACCCCATTTCAGGTACTGTGTCTCCTCAATTGAGAATCATTGAGAATCTAAGCCTCCAATTTTATTCATAAGGAACCGAGAACCAAAAAGGTTGAAGGACTTGTCCATGATGGCAAAGCTAGTCAGTAGCAGAGGCAGGCTTTGCGCCCACAAGGGAGAAGTACGATCACTAGAAACACATTGCACACAGTTCTGTAGACAGTCATAGCCTTTACTGTAAAGTAACAAAATGGTAACTGTGAGTGTGGTTAGCAAATCACCCATCTGGTGCTGCAGCAAATGCACATAGAGATGAAGGCCTTCCTTGGAAAAAATGATATTGGGAGAAACAAAAGGATACAGGCCTTTTACTCTTCCAAGGCATTAAAAAAAAAGAAAGAAAGAAAGAAACACAAAACTTCAGTTAACATACACACACAAGAATTGTGGGGTTTTGAAACTCCTCTTTCCCCAAAGACTGCCATTCCTGTAGGGTCCTTGATAACACTGGAGGCAAACCAGACAACATCTAGCCCCCAAGCAGTGGGGGGCGAGGGGTGGGGATACCACCAAAGGTCAATGAAAAGCTTGAAATATTGTTAGAAATAGATTTTTCAACTATAGGCCATAGCCCATTATTTGCCAAAAAGGAAAGGATAAAATAGAAAATAGAATGCATTATATGTAATAAAGGCAACACTGTTCTGCAAGACTTGTGTTATAGGTGTGTGTGTGTGTGTGTGTGTGTGTGTGTGTGTGTGTGTGTGTGTGTTGGGTTATAATGTAAAACAAAAGTTTTACTGCAGATCCTGGTTAAAGTTTGAAATCAAATACTCTAAACTGAGATTTTTTTGTCTCAGAGCATGGGACCAAAATGCTTACAGAATTACACAGGGTGGGGCAAAAAGTAGGGTTACAGTTGTTTGTATGGAAAATAATAAAAATGATAAATAATAATACAAGCATAAACTCTGTTTTGCATACCCACAACTATAAACCTACCTTTGCCTCACCCTGTATATAAATCAGAAGATTCCTGAAGAGAAAATGAAAATAAAACACACAAATAATCTCAAATAAACGCAACAAAAATTCTTTACAAAAAAAAATAATAAAAATAAAAACCACTTTTGGGAAGAAACATGCATTATAAGAAAAACATCAAGAAAGAGCAAATACTACAAAATTACCTCGACAAGATGTCTCCGAGCTTTCCATTGAATCTAGTTTTAAAGCATCAAACACCTCAAAATCAGACTTTTTGACATGGATCAAATTGTTAATCGTGCCAAGCTGACTGGTAACCACAGGCTGAAACAGTGAATGGGAAAAATTTATGAGTCCCTGTTTCAAATCCATCTCTTCCATTCAACTCTCCTCTTTTTAAAAATGATCATACTCGCCACCTCCATCTTTTATCAGGAGATAAATCCTCCAGTGCAGGAGAGCTGCTGCCCAGCAACCTGACAGCAGTGAAGTTGGACACCCAGGGGAATAATAGCTAGGAGGAGACTAAGTCAGTGCTTACCCTTGGAGGTCAAGGCCTTACCTCTGATGGATCATGAACCCACTGTCCATCCACAAAGAACTTGTACTGATGCTCTCCCTCAGGGAGGTCCAGGATGGCCACAAAGTCATTATGGCTACAGAAGAAAACAGAGAGTTAAGCAGGCCACGTTCTTATCAGAAGACGGAAAGTAAATGTAAAAACCATGAGGCAATCAAAATATCATACCAATTATCCTCTACACTGCTAAGTGATTGTAGCCTCTGAGGTAATTTATAAACCCAGTTTCCTTTCCTATATCATGTTCAGCATGTATTTGCCAACCCCTCCCAATAACTTTAGTTCTTAACTAATGTCTGGAAAAGAATAATAAAAAAAAATGTTAATCTCCCCAAATGGTTCACCTTAGTACAAGTATTTTGCTTCAGCAAACAGACCCCTCACAAGTGTAAATAAGATAGCAGGTAGGTTCAGGATACCGAAGTGGCTTAAGGTACCCTTTCCATATTTTGGTGAGCATCTTCTGGAAAATTACGTACTGATAGGTAGGCCGTTCTCATAACCAGTTAAATAATTCATTATTGCCCTGGAGGCAACAAATAACATTAGAACTTCACCGTATGTTTTGTTTTAGTGCAGAAGTCAGAGCAACTAGACTCAGCTAGTTATAAAACACTTCCTACAAGCATAGAAAGGACTTGAATTAATACGGTCCTAAAGAATGTGCCCACAAAACTATAAATCCCTCCGAGTAGTAAAACACCTCTGACTCACTATGAAATTAAAATTAAAAAGTCGCAGATATAGTCACTGGTCACAGAAAATGCTCAAGAGTCCCTAGCAGGTGGAGAGTAGTCCCACCAGGTCTCTACTCCTGGACTCTGTAGACTCAATCAAGACACTTGTCTTCACCTCTTAATCATTGGAATCTTGGTGCTCCAATTGTTGAAGGACCCGGAGATGAAGACCTCCTTGCCTCCTTCAGACCAGCGGATAACAGTGGGTCGGGCCTGCTGTGTGGGCTTTACGGAGTCCTCCAAATCCTGCTGCCACGATACAAACTCTTTGTCCCCAGGGAGCTGTAAGAAGGATTAGGTCATCCCTAAATTGTGACCCAGGAATTCTTAAAAGGTCACTCTCCTCCCTAGGGCAGAGAGCGGTCCTAGGTTTCTGCTAAGGATCAATCAATAAGCCCTGAAATTAGCAAGTTTGGTTTTGAACATACTATATAGACCAATGGTTGGCAAACTGCGGCTCGCGAACCACATGCGGCTCTTTGGCCCCTTGAGTGTGGCTCATCCACAAAATACCGTGTGATTGAAACTTCGTGGCCCATGAGCAGAAGTCAGTATTTTGTGGAAGAGCTGGTTTTTTGTGGAAGAGCCACACTCAAGGGGCCAAAGAGCCGCATGTGGCTCGCGAGCCGCAGTTTGCCAAGCACGGCTATAGACTAATAACTCATCTAGGACCAATATGGTCAAATAAATGGCTTATGCTCAGGGGCTGCCCAAATCACATCCTAACTTCCAAGTCTGTTTCCTGTTACCACATTAACTCACAGGCAGGCAACTATGATATGCTTCTGAGTGCCTCTTAAGAGAAAAAATGTGAAAATGAAGTATCTCTACATATAAAAGCCTAAGTGACCTAACGACTGGTTGACCGGTCGCTATGATGGCACTGACCACTAGGGGTCAGATGCTCAATGCAGGAGCTGCCCCCTGGTGGTCAGTGCACTCCCACAGCCAACCTCCCACGGCTGGCCAACCTCCCGTGGTCCTTCCCCTGGGCCAGCAGGCCAACCTCTCGCGGTCCCTCCCCCCGGCCAGCCACCCCAATAGCCGGCCAGGGCAAGGGACCCCACCCCTGCATGGATTCGTGCACCAGGCCTCTAGTCCCATATAATAAAAGCCTAATATGCAAATCAACCAAACAGCGGAACGACCAGAGGAATGACTGGTCGCTATGTCGTGCACTGACCACTAGGGGCAGACACTCAACGTAGGAGCTGCCCCCAGCCCGGAGGCCCCAGGCAAGCCAAGGCGGGTGCCAGAGGGGGCCCCCTAATCACCACGCCTGTTGCCCCACAGAGGGAGGCAACTGGTGGGGGT